AATTTTTGTAAGGTGATAAAAAGCAGAAAGGAAGAATTTTTCAAATGAAGCTTGTGCTCATTTCCATAAAATATCTCTTTAGGAAAAGCTTTTTGTCAGTTCCTATGGCTTCTGCAAGATAAAATTGACAAGGGAGGATTTATTTACATAATGCATTTTGAATTCATCTAGTTCTTCCCTTGCATGAAATTTTTAAAGATCTATTCATTTATTTACCTTGTGAAGTCCTGGGAATAAGCTACTGAAAGAAACAGACATTATTCCTTCCTAATAGAACTCACAGTTGAGTGAAACAGAACTGTCACATAATACTAAGCACCACGCAGGGAACAAATGGGAGAGAATGATCAAAAAAGACTAATAATGAGAAGAGTATCCAAGTGTGGGGAGTAGAAAGGAACCACCTCTCTAACATGGTCAAATAAGCTACCTCCTGATAAATGAAGTTAACTGGGAGGAAAGGTAACTGAGTACTTGAGGCAGAAAGAGCACTTAGGTTTTTGAAGAATAAAAGGTGCGTGTGAGAGGGAGGCAGTGTGTGATGTGGTTGGAGAAGGAAAGAGAATGGCTCAGGCAGTTGCCTGTAATCCATGACAGGGAGTCAGTTTTGATTCTGTTCCAAGACCACTGGCAGTCAAGATCCTTTTAAAAATAGCACTCAAGTTGTTAAGAGTGGGGTGGACTGGGTGAAGGCAATTAAGGAGCAAGCATTCCGTCACAGGCCCACAGCCAGGGCTACAGGGCAGATGTCAGGAATCTGGCTGCTGCAATAGCCCAGAGAAGGCAGGAATAAGATGAATTCAAAACACATTGTGTAAATAGATCCTCCCTTGCCAACTTTATCTTGTACAAGCTACCAGAACCAAAGAAAAGCTTTTCCTAAAGAAATACTTTGTAGAAATAAGCACAAGCTTCATTTGAAAAATTCTTCCTTTATGCTTTTTGTCACCTTACAAAAATTTCCCACAAATAAGCAATTGTCTAATCAAACTAAAAGCAAGAAAGATGTTGACCTTGGTCCATGGAAGAATTTAATGTGCATTCACCTATATTTACCCTTCTTAAATGTGGATTTGAATCAATATATGATTTTAAAAATACACCAATTAAAAAAAAACTGTAGGAGTCCCAGGAGCATGGTGCACCACATTACATATGTTCTAATAGGGTATTGGATTAACAGCTCCATTTTCTTTTTTTTTTTTTTTAGATTTATTTATTTATTTATACAAGCACTGGGTACAATCAGAAGCGCGAGATGGTGAGAGAATTCACCAGAGCCAGAGCAGGGAGCAGAACAGGCAGACTGACGAAGTACACTTCTGAAGGGAGCAGCCGGCGTCAGGAGAGGTCTGGGCACCATGTGGGACCCACGCCTGGGGCTGGGGATCGAACCTGCACTGCAGAGGCTGCATGCAGCTTTGCAACCCAGCGCTCAATCACTGCACCACCGGGGAGGCCCAACAGCTCCATTTTCACTAATTATTAAGGTACAGATTGTTCTCTGCAGATGCACAATGTATTACATCTCTGCATGCCTTTGGGTGATGATCTTAATGGAAGAAGTACACGATTTCCATTACCTTGAAAAACATTTCCATTTGTTTGAATAACAAAAAAAGTGATGGGTCACAACTTTTGCATTACAAGGTGGATAGCTTTGTTAATGTATGATTTGTGTAACTAACATCTTAAATCATGAATTTGTGGACATTCAAGAACAATGAAATATTTACAAGTAGTAATGTCTGGCATATAAGATATATTACATACATGTTTCCAGTCAAAACAAATAAAAACCAGTAAAGGCTTGCCAGTGAAGGCAAAGTCTCATTAACATTCTCTGCTTGGTGAATAATAGAACTGCTGTAGATAATGAGCATTGGAAACATCATGGAAACCTTTGAACCCACTGTTCACTTGAGTAAATATTCGTTTTCATTGTTTCATTCCTTATACGATGCACGGTTCAATTATTAGCAAATTGAGGAATGGTTTCTTCAGTTTTTAGAACCTGTGATGTGCTATCTACTTTCTAACTCATATTTTCAATATGGCACACCAATTGAAGCATAATATACACCTACATGGAAGCTCCTTTTAATGATTATAATTATTACTGTTATGATCCTCATTTTTTGTTTTAGTCTCCTCAGTAAGAGTCAGTTTCAAGTTGAGTTTAGGTTTCCAAAGCCATTATCCAAAGAGTGATAATATAACTGTTCATTAAAAATCACTGGAATTTTTTTTCCTTTTTTCCTTTTCACAAAGATAAATAAAATAGCAGGGGAAAGCACGGATTAATGCAGAATCATAAGCAAATGCACTCCTCTGCAAGAGTAACCCCCAAGTACCTCCCATCACTCCAACATTAGGATACTTTGTTAATTTACTGAGGTCTCCCTCCCAAGAAAAAGAAATGCTATCACAAAGTGTCAATACTTTCAAAATCACACAGGAAAATAGAGAGCCCTGGCCCCCTAGAATAGGATTTGTCATAGGTTTCTACCCTCTCCCTTGATGGGAAAAAGAAGATAGAGTCCGTCTACATCAAGCCAAGTCTAGTATATTATTCTCCCCACAAGAGTGCCCATAATCTTTCTATCCCTCCCAATCAACAATCTTTATATGTCATTTCAAACACAAAAGTAAAGTGCTGGTTAAGTCCTTATCTTGTATTCAGATAAGGAAAGAGTAGCATGATAATTAACATTTCTAAATCTTCATTAATTTAAATTGTCAAAGAACGCAGTCTACCATGTGCCTAAGACCTCCTAAGTCTGCAAGCATTTTTAAAAATCTTTGCCTTTGGTACAATAATACTTTAAAGAATTGCAAGATGTTAAATTATAGGATGGGAAAGAATTCATAATAAAAGTTCATTATGTTTTTCTCTTCTTCCCCAACCCAAAGTTTAGAATATTATTCATAAAGACATGCTGTTCTCACACTATTTTTCAAATAGCTTTCTGTTTAAATTATAATATGAATGTATTCTTATTACCCAAAAGATCAGAAAATATATACAGGTACAATGAAGGAAATAAAATAAAATACACCCAAAATCACTTCATTTAAAAACTAAAGTCTAGTATGGTGGTTCTTTGTATTCTTTGCACAGACATGTGTAGTTCCTCTATGCTATAAAGAAAAAGTCCCAAAATACACACATATAAACCCCAAAGTCTCACCATTGTTAAACAAATTCCAATACTAAATTCAGAAAGTAGCCAACATTTTGACCAAGGACTTCTGCATTAGGCAAGCCATTAATAAACTCTGTAGTATGTGCCCCAGTTTCTATCCCCTCAGACTTGTTAGCTAGTTAGTCTCAGAGAAACTACTTCCTAATTCAGAAAAACCTGTTCTCTGTATTCTGTTTTTCAGGAACATATCTACAATTGTTGCTATTTTTCTCATCAAGTCAAAAAGCACATAAAACATGCTTTATGGAATTTAGAGGGAACTCTACAAAGAATGTCAAACCTGAGTTTTAGAAATTTCTTTCCAAGCAGAAGCACATTTAAGTTATTATTTCCCTTAGAGTCAACACCCATCAGATTCTTCACAAATACTATTTAAAGGATGTGGTATCAGTCAGGAGTCAGCACACATTTTTTGAAGTAAATAAAGCAAATTTTTTCTATGTTAGTATTTTTGGGTCTGTGACCCTATGATCTCTGCTCAGCATTGCTCTTGGACCACAAAAGTGGTCATTTACTGGGAATTTCGTAGGGAATGCACAATGATGTAAAAGATAAAAATAAAAAAAATTATTTAAAAAATAAAAGAGCATTTACAACACACAAATGGGTGGGTGTGCGTCCCAGCAAAATGTCATTTACAAAAACAAGACTTTTCTGAAGATGGATGGTGACAATGATTGAACAGCAATATGAATGTATTGAATACCACTCAGCTGTACACTTAAAAATAGCTAAAAGAGTAAATTTTGTTATACACAGCTTACCAAATTTAAAAAAAAACCCAAGATTACTTATAAGTTATTTTTTCCCCATTCCTAGAATACAAAATCCTTTCTGCCTAAAATACCGTGTGATTAAATGATTTTCCTGAACCTGAAAAAACCTCGAAAACACGTTGCATAAATACTTAACAAAGATGAAAGTGTTCTTCTACCAAACTTGTCTTTAAGTATTTTGAAACATTCAACAGTGCTTGTAACTATAGTGTCATAGGCAAATGAAATGGTGTTAGTGGGGTTTTCCCCCTAAAGTCAGAGGCCACATGTTTAAAAGTGCTCACATGTGCAGCAACAAGCAGGCTGACGGCTCTGGAAGAAATGTCCGCATTAATTAAAAGTGCACAAGGATGATCTCCACCATAGGCAAACTACTTTTTTAAAACACTTACAAATGAAAAGAAGTACAATAGGGAATATGTTATCTGATTATCAGAGATCTGGTTTTACAATGCATTATTTAGACAGTTCAGCTATCCAAGGCACCCTATGGCTGTTTATTCCAACTTTATTTCTAATTGTTTTCATTTAAAGCTTGCATTAATCGTTCCTTGATATGATGGTTTTCTTCTTTGGATATGTAGTTACTTTCAATAACATACATTATTATTTAACACATAGCTGTTATTTCACTTTAGGTATATCCACATGTACTTAGGCTAAAAATAAAGACTTTCACATATTCGGTTTTGGGGGATTTTGTATGTTTTGTTTTCTTTTTCAGAGTTAATTGTAACCATGAGAAGCAGCCAAGTAGATTCTTTCTCAGTGTAGTCAGAACTAGCTTCTGCACTTCCACACCATGATTAATTTATTATTCATCTGCTACCTTCCTATTAAACTTTGTCTTTAGCCTGTGAACTTTTCTTTCAGCTACCAACAAAGGATTTCATTGCTTTAGGAATTGAGGTGTGTCTTAAGTTTTTACCTGGGAGCAAAAGTGATGCAAGCGTTTCTGCTGAGGCCAATCCTGGGTTTAGGGAGGGGAGGAACCGCTTAACAGGCCCTCCGTGGACTCGCGAAGACAGAACAGACGCTGCGAAAGGAGGAAAGGACTTTTCTCAGACATCGGATGCAAACAGACAGCAGGAAGGACTGAGGAGCCAGCTCCCTCGGATTTGGTCACCAGGGAAATCAGAGACAATGACTTGGCTCCTTTTCCGAACCACAGGCGCTCTGGCCATTTTAATGGTAAGTGCTGTCTTTTTTCTAATAATTGCAAACTTTCCCTATTCTCTTCCTTGTTAGAGAAGACAGTATTCGATTGCTGGATCTCTGCTGTAAACACTAGAAAGAGTACTGTGGAAATAAACACTTTTAAATAAGATGCTAAGGATTACCGACTTCCTCCTTTTGTTATTTTTTTAATGTTGCATTTTACATTGAAAAATAAAACAGACACATGAATTTGAAAGTCTTTAGTTAACGAATTAAATAACCCTGATCCTGATCTATTTTCCAATACTCCCCCACTTTCTTTCTTACATTCTTCTGTCCAGTATTAACTGGAAGTAAAGCACACAAAAGAGAAGCAGGTCTATTTTCCAAGATTACATGTCTCTTAAGCATATGGCTAAGAAGTGTACATGTCTAGTCTTGACAACTGAGATGTTTATAAAATAGTCAAAGACAATTGAAATTTAAATTAAAGCGAAGTTTAACTCTAGAGAAGCTGGGTGCATTGTTAAGAAAGCAATGTTTATGTTTAGTGATTATGTGCAAAATATACCCAACCTTTAGGGGAATAAAAGATAAGGACATTTTAAAAACCATTTTTCAGGAGAGTAACATGGCTGTTGATTGGGAAAGTTTTATATCCTATAACATAAAAGAGTGGAATCCAGAGAGCATAGCACCAGCATGGGTGTTCCTTAATGATTTCAGTGAAGAAAAAAAATGTCACTACATTATCAGTTGCAAGGAGATAGCAAAAGAGTGAAATATACCATCAATGAATATTTTTTAAATTCCTACTATGAATTTCTTAATTTATCAACAATAGCTAGGATGATCTAAGCATCAATTTACCTCATTTCATCATCTAAAATGTTGAAATATTGGATAGATATCAAAGACAAGAATGATCTAAAGAAAGAAGTCTCTAACACATAAGGCTTTCTAAAACCCACAAGGCTGCCTTGTGAGTCAGAGGTTTCTGGGTCTTCCCTCTTGTGATGGTTTTTAAACAGAAAATTAGTATCACCCCTTCTATTGGAGTCTATTTCTATCATGACAATGTAACTAATTGTTTTGGTAATCTAATAATGTAGTTGATCCTGGAATATTATAAAGAGACATATATGATAATTGTTGGACTTTCCCTGCTTTGCAAATGGTTGTCTCTGGATGGCACTGCAGGTAACCTGACAACCATGTGTCAAGCCAATGACCAATTTGGGAAGCAAAGGGATCTGCAGTGCCAGAACAGCAGTGTCATAAGGACACAAACTTGGGCCACCACAGCTAAGGGGGGCTCTTTTCCCTGCCTTGACTTCGAGACCTCTCTCAGTTACCTCTCTGGTTTGACTGATTGTGAGAGTCTGATACTGAAGACTGTTTATTCATCTCTGTGTCCCCAATGCTACTACGATATCCTTCTTATTAGAATATCTTTCACAACTATTTGAAAAATGGATAAATCGATTGAATAAGGCTTCAGTAAAACATAATCTACACACTTGCATACAGTGCCTCGGGCATGGCAGTCATAGAGGAAACTATAAAATTAAGACATTTTCCTCCCCTCTGGAAAGTTCTACACACACAGCAATACAATCACACACTACTTAAAAAAATAATGTAACTTCGTACATAATCGTTAAACTGAGTGGTCTAGCAGTAACCTAACCAATATGGTAGCCACTAGTCACGTGTATCTATTAATTATTTGAAATGTAGTTGGTCTGTATTGAGATATGCTATTAAGTGTTAGCTATACATCATATTTTGAGGACCGTATAGAAAACAATGTAAGCTATGTCATCAATAATTTTTATGTTGGTTACATATAAAAATGATAGGATCTAGAGATATTAGATTAAAACATACATAAAAATTAATTCTACTTTTTTAATTTTTAAAATGTGATCCTTAGAAAGTTTTAAATTATATATTTGGCTCACATTTGTGCTTCTCATATTTCTAATGGACAATGATAGTCTACTGTGAATACTATTTGTGAAAGGCAATGTCAGTCAGAAGTGAGAAAGGTAAACAGACACCACAGAGTTAGAGAGATTTGAGCTGCTTTTTGATAAGGATGGATGAGCCAAAGGGCATAGCTTCCATCATCAGACCAGCAAAAGCAAATCTGCTTATGGTGTTTGCCTTGGGCTAGTGAACACTCTGGTTTGGCTGGAATGACAGTTTGTGTTGGAGAATGAATTGGAAAGGCAGGTTAGGGTCAGGTTAAAAAGTACATTCAGTGAAGATTAATGGAATCCTTTTAGAAATAGGGAGCCACCCACAGTTTCGAAATAATGTGGTGATGGGGAAAAAGCAATGCTTTTCAAAGCAATGTCAAGTGAAGGCACATCTTTTGTTGTTGAAAGGTGGGGCCTGAAAGTTGGAAGATGTGTTTGGAGGTTTTGAATTAATTCCACCTTCTTATGACCATACAAAGGTGCCTAGAGAAGTGAGACACAGAAGCAAAGTCATGAACTTCAGTCTCTGCCTGCTCCACTGACTCACTCCAGGCCTAGTTTTCTCAACTGTTATATGACAATGATCATAAACCCCTTTCCTGATTTACTTGGTCATCGTGAGTGTAAAACAGCAATGTGTGCAAAAGTGCTTTGAAAAATATAAACCAATTTATAAGAATAATTTTTTGCATTTGTGCAATAGAGATGGTCCTTAATAACATCTTGACTTTCTGCCTTACCATTTTAAGTAGCCACCATCACCAGTTTTCATAAGTCAAAAAAGGGCCTACATCTTCTTGAGTGAAAAAGAAATAATTGTAAGATTTTTTTTAACTGGTTGGGGAAAAAGAAAAGCAGTATTTTAAATGAAGATAATAATGGGTATGGGAAAATACGTTCAAATTTGGAGCTCTTCTAAAAATTTCAACTGTTTGACCTCCTTAGGTAATTGTTTGGGAGGGACATTTGCCTATTTTGAAGAATGTTGTAGGACTTATCAGTTTCTGATGCTTATTTGATCTATTTCACATAAGAAAAAACAAACATTTGGAAAAGGGCTAGTGATTAAAAACTGTTCATGTTCAGAGATTTAACCTTTTGATAACAATATTTATCTGAAAGACAACCACTATTCACTGTTATACAGTATGCAAAATCTGAAACACAGTTTAGCAGATAACATTCTTATTAGCATCTGGACACTAAGCTATTTAATTTTATGTTACTATCTTATGTAAAAATTTATTCATTACAAAATTTATTGAAAGTTTGAAATGCAAAGATTTTTAAAGCACAATGTTTTGAAGAAATCAGTAGTAACAGTGCTGGAAAAAAAGAAAGCATAGTTTAAATATCAAGTTCTAAGAAATGGTCAAGAAAATCAATGATATAAGAAGGTTCTAGAAATTTACTTTCACATGAAATTATATTTCCAATGGCCATTTTTAGTTGAGAATATCTAAGAAGCAATATTTCATTTCACCTTTCTTACCTTTGCTTATATTTGCTACATCTTAAAATATGTTAGGGTGGAAAATAGAATTAAAATTAATAAGTAAATATCAAATTTTGAGTTAGAATATATTCTAAATATAGCAGAACTATCTTCAATCACCTTCTTCTATAGAATATGCAAAAAGCAATCTTTAGGCAAAGAATTGTCAGCTAAATGGCCTAAATTGAACAGAAAATATTTGAGCTATTTCTTTCTCCTTTTGACAGAGAAAACAATCTAATGGTTACATAAATATATGAAACAAACCAATATATCAAAAATAAATTTTTATCTCAACGTCTCTAAAAATTAAAATTTGGAAATTAGAAGAACCTTGCCAAGTGATTCTGGTCAGGCCTGCCTATCTTGAGCAGAAGTCAGGAAAATGTAATTACTGCTACCAACTACCCCTCCCACTTAATACCTAAAACCGGTTTTCACACAGAGCCAGAATACTCAAGACGTTTCCCACAAACCTCTTAGCCTTTGGCTCTTCCTTTCCAGTTAACAGTCAATCCGATAGCCTAAGGTGAGTGAGGGCTTGCTTTAGAATGTTCATCACACGAAAATTATATAGACAAAATTGATAACTACCCATAGCTATGCTATGGAAATGACTGTGCAGAAGGCCAGGCTGTGCCCTGCACAACTACGGGCGGTTCACTCACCTAAACTACAATGTGAACAGTACCTCCTGGAGTTGTTCAAGGGGCAGTCTTCACACTGGTACTGAGGAGTATCTTTTTGATGCTCAAAGAAAAAACAACTTTATGTGCCTTGACCTGAGTAATAATATTAAGAGGATATATCATATCAAAATGGTTCTTTCATAGCTTTATCATTAAGTTTGGCAAAGAAGTGATGAACACATTAAGCACTTGCTCCGGGCTGGGGTTCCTCTAAGTGCTTTCCACCTATTAATTTATTCATCTCTCACAACAAACCTATAAAGTAGAACTATTATCTGTATTTTACAGATGAGGAAGCAAAGATTAAGTAATGTTCTCAAAGTACATAGCTGGTACGTGGCAAGACTAGAATTTCCATTCTGGGATTCAGGATCCAGGGTCCAATTTTATTTTACTACACTTGACTCCATCTTATAAAGCATTTAGAATTAACCAAGAGACAAATCAGTTGAATGCTAGGAAACTATCAAAATAGGTATTAAATAGTCAAAGTAATTATATTAGCAAATTAAATCAATTAGGTAGCCACATATAAGTATGAATTAACTAAAATAATTGTTTCTAAAACACTATCCTAAGTAATGTAATGCTACAATTATATTTCTAAATATCTAAAGCATACTGCAATATTCAGAAGTAGTTGAACCATCCCATATTTCAAAAAACACCAATAAAAATCACATTTTCATAATACTACCTAAAATAAGAGAGCAGTCCTGGTGGTTCAACTTTAAAAGAGAAGATGGAGAAGAATAAAGGTTTAGACTGAATAACTTCTCTACAGTTTGTGATTCTGTGAAAATGTTGAACAAACAAGATAACTGTGTGCAGTCATGTTTCTCCTTTCTCCATAGCTTAGGACTTGTCCTTTCTTTGCTTGGTTTCTCCTTCCTTTGCTTCCCAGAAAAGCAGGAATTGTATCTTAATGTCTACTGAAACAATCATTCTCTGTGGAGCTAGTACAAACATGATTCATATTTTCTGGATGACTCGCCCTAGTTTTCCTATAAAGGGGAGCGTGCCTGGCCCATCCCCTCGCTCACATGGGACTGAGTTGTTCCTATGAATTGAGAAGGAGTCGTGCAATTACTCTATTCCCCTGGTCTTCTCTCCCAAGTAATGCATGCTCTTGCTTAATAAAGAGCAGCAAAACTATAAAATCATTTTGAGACCTATTATCACTTTGAGACCACTTGACTTTTGAAACACGATTTCAGTGTTAAAGGGTCTGACATCCTATGCCTGATGGAATTCCTCCTTCAGCTCCAAGTTGGACCTTCCTCTTTATGATAACCTTCCAAATAAACCATGTAATAAATGTACATTATTTCAGAAGTATCCTCAGTCTTTGGCAGTTAGAAATCTAAACTGACCTTTATAACTTTCTACCATCATTTTTAAAATTTATTTATATTTATTTTGGTTAGAATCTAGTGTGGTGGTGATATACATGCATTGTGGTCAGGCTATCAAGAGTCAAGTCCTGACTCTACCTAGCTGGTGCAAGGTAGTCATTCTCTCATCTCTCTATTTCTTCATCCATTACATAGGGATTATAATAATAGAATCTCCTTCATATGACTGTTGTAAGTACTGAATGAGGTAATAAATACAAATCTCTTAGAAAAGCAACTGACACAGACACCACAATAAATATTAGTTACTATTATCACTCTTTTTTTTTTCTTCTGACTTATTTTCAAACAATCATTTTCCTACCAGCTTGTCCTTAGCTCAGTTAACCAGTGGGCCAGCAAATAGTCTTTAAAAATGTACTGAAGGGGCCTCGCCGGTGGCACAGCGGGTTGAGCGCAGCTCTGTAAAGCTGTCCACAGCCTCTGCGGTGCAGGTTCAATTCCCGGCCAGTCAGAGAGATACCCACATGGTGTGGCAGACCTCTCCTGTCTCGCCCACTGCTCCCTTCAGCAGTGATTTTGGTCCCTCTGCCTGTTCTGCTTCCTACTCTGTGTCTGGTGGATCCTCTCACCCTCCTGCACCTCTGGCCTATACCCCAGTTCTTGTAGAAATTTAAAAAAACAAAATAAATAAAAATGTACGGAAGGACTGGTATTATGAAGGTTATAAGGGAAAAAATTAATAGAGAAGTTCTGATTTGGAAAGTTTATAATTCTTTTGACTTAGCACCATAAGATACATACAGCAATGTGAAATCACATATATCATAAACTATTATGGGTTATACTGCGTGGTACAGAGTACATGCTGTACAAACACTCAAAGGAGACATCAGTAAAGACAGTTTCATGGAGATTGTTGAACTTGAAATGATCTTAAAGGATGAGTAATATTTAAGTGGGTGAAGGGGAAAGAAAAATACAGTCCAGGTAGAAAACAAGATGGAAAATGACACATATGAAGATCCTGTATGCTCTTGAGAAAGTAAAGACCCTAAGCTGCCTGTCTTTGCTTTAGCCTCATTTAACTTATTTCAGAGCACTACAAACCTTAAATTCAATATTTATTTATTTTTAAGGATTTATTTTTATTTATTTATGCATACAGGAACTGGGGTGTAGGCCAGAGGTGTGCGGGGTTGAGATGATTCCCTGGAGACAGAGTAGGGAGCGGAACAGGCAGATATACTGAAATACACTGCTGAGGGGAGCAGCGGGTAAGACAGGAGAGATCTGCTGTGCCATGTAGGTTAGCTCCCTAGCCAGGGATCTATGCTGCAGTGGCTGGTGATAGCTTGCTTGCTAGCGCTGACTTTAACCCCTGCACTACCAGGGAGGACCTAAATTCAATATTTAAACTGATGTAACAGGACAGAAATGAGACCCGTGTTCCTCAGTACACTCTACTTGGGATTGTAATAGTGTATCCCCATCCTTTATGTTCCAAACTCTAAACCAGTCTAGTTCCAGTCCATTCTCACCATTCATGTATGTACAACTAAGATAATTTCCTATCCTGTAATTGAAGCTAATACAAGATTGCTTTTAAACCAGTCAGTTGAGTAGGTGATGGTTTTTAATAATCCCTTGTATCACTTTCTGAAGTTTATCACAACGATGTTCTCCATTGTTTCCTAAAGCCAAGGCTTCCACAGCCATATGGTTGGTACAACTGGTTGTCAGGCAGAGTTTTGAAGAGTTGAATAAATTCTTCATTAAAATTTTGAATTCAGGGCCTCCCTGGTGGCGCAGGGGTTAAACAGTGCTAGCAAACTATTGCCATCCACTGAAGCTTAAGTTTGATCCCCAGCCAGCCAGGGAGCAACCCACATGGAGCAGCAGCCCTCTCCTGACTTGCCCGTTGCTTCCCTCAGCAGTATATTTTAGTTGATCTGCCTGTTCTGCTCCCCACTCTGTCTCTGGTGAATCCTCTCACCCTCCGCACTTCCGGTTTACACCCCAGTTATTGTATACATAAATAAATAAATCTTTAAAAAAAATTCTGAATTCAGATGACAGAACAAGAAAACTTGCTTATACTGAAAACATTTTTTTATTTCCTGGTAGTTTTTTATCCTTTTGTATGCTACTTCTCCCAATTTTTGCTATAGAAACAAATTATAATATGAACAACAGAATGTAATAACCACAATATATTTCTTATGTAATTACTTATTTGAAGAATTCACAGCTAATTTGACTTTATTTAAATATTTACAGGTGGTTGTATTGGTACATGGAGAATGGAGAATTGAGGTAAAGTAAGAAAATTTTTTTTTATTAAAGTAGCTTAGTGAAACAATTTTAATTTTGTTTGGAAAAATATTTATCTAACATTTAAAATAATTTAAAATTTAATTGTAAAAATAAAATTAAAATTCTAACAAGTAACCCAACAATATATAAATATCTCATGTATTCTTTTTCTTATCTTAAGCAAATCAACAAGTTTTCATTAAATGGGTCCTATATACCCAGATAGGAAGATATTATGGAATATGATAAAGGAAATACAAAATATAACTAAATAGTAATATTAAAAATTATAGTCTTGCCACTGTTTCACTTATTTAATATTTCTTCCTTGCTTGACAAAGTAAGGTATAGCACATTAGATATTAACTATCTTAGAAGTCTTAAGACATAGGGGATCCTCAAGCTATTTGTCTATAATCAATGCTCAAAGCAAAAATTTTGAACAATGTGTTTACTAAAACAAAATCCCTTTTCAATTAGACAAAAGGACAAGAAGATGATGGAACAGTAATACAAGCCAAAAGGAGATACAAACGTGAATGGGTGAAATTTGCAAAACCTTGCAGAGAAGGAGAAGACAATTCCAAAAGAAATCCAATTGCCGTAGTAAGTCACAGCTGTGTGGGCAATGTGAATTTTAAGAATATAAACATATTAGATGTAAATTAAAATAAGTGAGTGCCTATTAACAAAATGCAGTCTGTGGAATCCACAGAACAGATTAACTTGGTATTTCAACAAAATATTAAATAATAATAACAACAATAGCAATAAAAGAGAACAAAAACAAAGAACTATGGCTTCTAGAGTAATAAATACTTGAGACATGGACTAACTTCAATGGATATGACTTATTTAGGTCTAGTGTCTAGAAAAAAAAATCAGAAAAATATATAGATGATTAGAAAAATGGTTGGGAATCAACATTGGATTGACCATTCATACATTGAAGCTGGGTGATGATGTATATTATTCTAACTTTATATGTATTTAAGATATATATATATATAAAAAAACTTGACATTATAATAAAAACAAATAATTTCGACATATATTTTAACAATACAAACCCTTTTGCTTTTCCTCTCCAATCTCCCTATTTAAACAGAAATTAATGCTTTATTTCTTTTTTGCTTAACATAATCTGCTAAAGGAGATAGCATATAGAAATAGGCTTGTCAAGGGCCTCCCCAGTGGCGCAGCAGTTGAGCGCTGGGTTGTGAGGCTGCCTGCAGCCTCTGCAGTGCTGATTCGATCCCCGGCCACTGGGCGAGGGTCCCACATGGTGTGCAGACCTCTCCTGCTGCCCGCTGCTCCCCTCAGCAGTGTATTTTGTCGGTCTGCCTGTTCTGCTCTCTGCTCTGGCTCTGGTGGATTCTCTCACCCTCCTGTGTTTCTGACTGTACCCAGTGCTTGTATAAATAAATCTTAAAAAAAAAAAAAAAAGAAGAAAGAAATAGCCTTGTCAATTTTAAGTGTCCTTGACTTTCTTTCAACCTTTTAGCATCACCATGGTGGCCACAGCCTGAGCAAATATTCTAAAGCCAAAATAATTAACACATATTGGTCCATGCTGGTCAACAGTAGCAACAATATGAATTTATTTCACATTCCTTGTATAGATCATGGCAAAAAATAAACAGCACAATAACAGAAAAGTGAACAGATGACTAAGACTATGGAGGTACAGGAGAGAAGGGAAAGGAAAAGGCCTGAGTGATAATCATCTTAACATTTTGGGAATTCTGTGCTACAGATTTCTTCAGATATTCAAGCAACAGAGAAAATTACCTACCAAATTTCTGGAATGGGAATTGATCAACCCCCTTTTGGAATATTCGTTATTAACAAATTCACTGGAGAAATTAATATAACATCCATAGTTGATCGTGAGGAAACCCCAAGCTTTCAGGTAAGTTTGTGCCTTCAATATTGGGCACCTTCTCTTGCACCATGGCTGTGGAAGGAATACCCTTGTACTGATTAATTAGAGGAGAAATCAGTACCTGCATCGATCCACCAGCAATCAAGACTAGTCCTTCCACATAGGGCCTCCATTTGTAGTTGTGTCCCTGAAGGAATTCACCAGGTGGATGCATGAGAGAGCCCTGAAATTCAGCATGCAGCTGGCTAAGAGCTTTACCTTACCATGAGACAGCCTGGAGGAAGGGGCAGCTGGTCTGGCCAAGCGTAGGCACCTTTTGCTACTTTGTCTATTCTCTTTTTCTTCTTTGATAAAATTTCTATATATGCCAGTAGAGTAGAGCCCTATTTCTACAAGTTTTAAGTTTGTAAAGTGATACTAATATTTTCCCTCTTTTTCTAGATCACATGTCGTGCCCTAAATGCCCGGCAACAAGAGGTAGAAAAACCACTTATATTAACAGTCAAAATTTTAGATATCAATGACAATCCTCCAGTATTTTCACAAAGTATATTCATGGGTGAAATTGAAGAAAACAGTGCTACAAGTAAGTCTGACAGTACCTCCCATTTCTAATTTACTTTTAAAGCGCAAATATCACTGTACTGCATCATTTTTATAAGCTAATTTATTATCTCAGCTTCATCAGTAATTCTGCAGAAAAAGTCATCAAGATAACCTGGGTCTTCCTTTCTAATTTTTGTAATTGAGCTATTTATCCATGACCTTTGTATTTTTAAGTTGTGATCTTGTTAACAAATCAGTGTATTTTATTCTTGTATGAAAGTCAACCAGTTACTCAGCAGTCACAAAGCTGAAGCGGTCTTGGGTAGTCTAGATACATAGGCTGGACTTTTTAGATTATAAGGGACAAAGATGTATTTACATTATTTGGATAATATAAGAGTGATAAGGTCACCCATTATCAAGGGAAGAAATAAAGACAGGATAAGAAATAAACACAGATAAGGTTTAGAGAACTGGAGAATTTTTATGGAAGGCAGCACAGTTCTACCTGATTAAGAGATAATGCAGAGATGACATGCAATTTCTTTTGAGCCTACAAGTTTTAAAATCTTAAAACAGGGCCTCCCCAGTGGTGCAGCAGGTTGAGCACAGTGCTGTGAATCTGTCTGCAGCCTCTGTAGCGCAGGTTTGATTCCCAGCCAGCCAGGGAGATGCCCACATGGCTAGGCCAACCTCTCCTGTCTCACCCGCTGCTCCCCTCAGGAGTGTATTTCAGTCAGTCTGCTTGTTCTGTTCCCCACTCTGTCTCTGGTAAATCCTCTCACCCTCCCATGCCTCTGGCCTGTACCCCAGTTCTTGTATGAATAAATCTTTAAAAATAAATGAATAAGGGCCTCCCCGGTGGCGCAGCGGTTGAGCGCTGGGTTGCGAAGCTGCCCGCGGCCTCTGCGGCGCCAGTTCGATCCCCGGCCGCTCCCCGGTCACCGGAGGAGGGTCCCACATGGCGCGCAGACCTCTCCTGCCGCCCACTGCTCCCCTCAGCAGTGTACTTTGGTCCTTCTGCCTGCTCTGCTCCCCGCTCTGGCTCTGGTGAATTCTCTCACCCTCCCACACTTCTGACTGTACCCAGTGCATGTATAAACAAAACAAACAAACAAATAAATAAAAGCATGCCTCCTCTATTAAAAAAAAAAAATTTAAAAAAAAATAAATAAATAAATAAATAAAATCTTAAAACACAAGGTCCACTTTCAAATTGTGTGGAATATTTAATGTTAACATGATGTCAACCTTTACAGTCTTAAATGAGTTTCTTCTGTATTTCTAGACTCACAGGTGATGATACTAAATGCCACAGATGCAGATGAACCAAACCATTTGAACTCTAAAATTGCCTTCAAAATTGTCTCTCAGGAACCTGCAGGCACACCCATGTTCCTCATCAGGAGACACACCGGGGAAGTCTGTACTTTGACTAATTCTCTTGATCGAGAGGTAAAGCAAGACACTTGGAAACATTCAATAAAAAAAAAAATCTGATTGTATGAAAGTTAATAGATGTAATTCCATTCTACTAAAGGGAAAAAGGAGAGAGGTTCTCAATATTTACTTAGGCCAAATCTAAGGGAAATTATCTGCATTCAGTTGTGATTCTAATGGGGGGGAATATGTACCAGGAACCTGTGCCATTAATTGTACCCAAAACATATTAAGTATCAGCACACCAGTGGAATTTAAATTGAGAGAGTTTAAAAAAAGCATGACATGCATGGACAAAGATTGAGCTCTAATCTTTTAGAAATTCTTAGATAAAAGGAAAAATTTATATCTGCAATAAAGCCTTCTCCAACGCCACACTATTTCTCCTGATTTCTTTTAATTTTATTCTGACTTTTAGAACTCTAAAGAATCTCTTTCCTCTCTCTGTCATTCTGTCACCACAACTACCATCACCACCACCATCATCTCCAACACCATATACTGTCCTGTCAAATTCCATATTACTTTTGTGCACATGATATTCCACATTGACTGGCAGGGTAGCTGCATAAATAAACTTCAGTCAGACAAGCATTCCACCAAACTTATGACTTATTTTTATTCTCAGTGTATTTTCTTGCCATAAGATGCTCACAAAAGGGCCTCCCCTGGTGGTGCAGGCGGTTGAGTGCAGCGCTGTGAGGCTGTTCGCAGCCTGCCTGCGGGTAAGGGTCCCACATGGTGCAGCAGACCGCTCCTTTCTCACCTGCTGCTCCCCTCAGCAGTGTATTTCATCAGTCTGCCTGTTCTGTTCCCCACTCTGTTTCTGGTGAATCCTCTCACCCTCCCGCGCATCTGGCTTGTACCCCTGTTCTTGTATAAATAAATCTTTTTAAAAAAAAATGATGCTAACAAAAGAGAAAACTTGTTCTAGCTCCTAGAAGACATCCACCCAACCATCCAGAGCCTCATACACCTCCTCTATAATGTACAGCAAAAGTGTATGTGATTTTCCAGAGAATGAGTCATGAACTTGAAAATTTTCACCTCATTTTTCCTTACTTTTTTCTCTAAATTTAGAAATTTAGCAGTTACCGTCTGGTTGTGAGTGGTGCAGATAAAGATGGAGAAGGACTGTCAACTACATGTGAATGTAAAATTAAAGTGAAAGATGTCAATGATAATTTCCCAATACTCCAGCAATCACAGGTAAACCTTTCACTCCTTGAAGAATCATTTACATATATATATATATATGATGTTTATTATATACTTCCCAATTTTTTTTAAGTTTTTTGCTCTTTTCCTTAAAAATAAATGTTTGTAAAATATAAGAATTCAAATAACCAGCAAGGAGGCAATGCATAATTTGAAAATGAATACTATTCAGAATAAATAAAAATCCCTTTAGATAAGACCTCCATTGAGTCTCAAATTCTTCTCTCTTTTTCAGTATTCAGCACAGATTGAGGAAAATACTTTAAGTTCTGAGTTGCTACGATTTCAAGTAATAGATTGGGATGAAGAGTTCACAGATAACTGGAATGCAGTGTATTTCTTTACTTCTGGAAATGAAGGAAATTGGTTTGAAATACATACAGATCCTAGAACAAATGAAGGTATCCTGAAGGTGGTTAAGGTAAGTTGATTTACCTTTAGTGGTAAAAATGTTCTATCTTAACCAAAAATATCATTTCTACAAATAAACTTTTTTCATTTATTAATAATAATGCCACTCCTTCATAGAAAACACATAAAAGTACATAGCATTTTTTAAGTTCACATTAAGTCTATTACCTAGGTATTGTTCTTAACATGTTTATTTACTTCCTTCCAAGCTATCACACTCCAAAGTAAACACAAACACATTGATACAGATATATTTATAGGTGCACCTGCTTTAATGAGAAGAAAATAAAACACATTTCTGACTTCCTCTCATTCACTCTGTTGGATTGAAGTTAGAAAGAAAAATACATACACTCATGTCTTGTGAATTTGTCAACTTGTTTTTAAAAAGACTACCAAAAAATGGAACTTTTCTCTAGAAAAATGAGAACATATAAACTATACCTGAAGATAAAAAATAATTGAGCAAAACTTCCATTTAACATGTTTGGTTATGTTAAGACCCTGATCTGAAGTAATATAAGGCTATTTCTGCCCAAATATTGCATAAATTAGAAAAAATATTGGGGATATTGCTTAGCATAGGGCATTAAATTCTATGGGAGCTTCTTTAATTCCTTGAATCCAGTAGAGTGAGGGGCCTATACTATACCTTTAACAAGGAGACTGCCAAAGCCACACAAGGAGTTTCTTATCAGTGGGCTTTTCAGAGAGTGAAAAGTCATCTTCACTTGTGTTTTGTTATAAACATCCAGAAATGCCTGGGTATGAACTATTCCATCTCTTGTTTTGGTGCTATCCAACCACCCAAACTGGAGACTTAGGACTTATCCTTAAATCATGGCATTTCCTCACAACAACATAGTCAGTCAATTCTGTCCCAGAAATTGACTTTGTTTCCCCCTTACAATCTGTGCTCTAGCCAGCCTGACCTCCAGCCCCCAAAGTGATGGCAGCTGCTCCTGATGTTTCCCACCTCCTGTTTCTATTCCCTTTGCTCTCCTACTGCCACAAAAGGGACCAATTATATGGCCAAGGATAGAATTGGACTTTCAGTGGTCAACTTAAAATAGTATATACAGATGATGATTGATTGTAATGTGTACCATGTAAAACTTACATATGTTGGCAGGCAATGCTACCTAAATTAAAATATATGTATATTTTAAAATATTAAAAATTCAGACATTTACTTCTTAAAACCTTTCCTGATTCTCCATTGATTATGAAAGTCAGCCACAGCTCCATTTGCTTATTCGAATCACCTGCAACCTTTGGCTGGGCTCAGATGGTCTAAAGCAAAGCTGAGGCAGCAGTTCTTAAAATCTCCTCATTAGACTATAATGTGCACCCAGTGCTGATGGCCAGCTGATGCCCTGAAATGACATTCACCTTCCTCAAAACTAGGAATTTAAGTGACATGACCATAACAAAAACAGGCCCTCAAACAGAGTTATTTTGTGCATCACCAGGATTTTTTTGCATCTATGCTATAATGAAACATTGAATAAAAGCATTTGAGGACCTGCTGTACAAAGCATGTGCAGCCCCCCCACTCCCCAAGACCTACTAAACTCCGTGAAAATTTACTAGAGAATTGGCAAAAAATAATCCTGGGACTTCAGGTCTTAGTTTGGGCCTCCACCATCAAAGGGTCAAAAAAATTAGTATCAGGAAGACCATCTATATAGAGTTGATGGGACATCCACCCACTGCCTTTCAAACACCTATTTGCCAACCAAGTTTAGCAAGACAGTCTGCCTTTGCCACCTAAGGATTTTTGTTATAGTGCAGGAATTACTATCCTGTGAATGGGCATAGCTGCCATTTATAGAAATGTATCATGGCCTTAATGTCCAGTCATGACAACAACGTAATGAGATAAGATTTTTGTTCAGAAGTGAAAATATGAGGTTCAAAGAAATTAAATATTGTGCCCTCGTTCACAGACTGCTCTTAAGTAATAGAACCAGGATTCAAACAATTCTACTATAGCATATCTGGAATTCTTTCCACTGTACCACACAGCCAAAGAGACCGTACGGACATATTTTTGCTGGTCTATAAAGAGATACTCTGTTTTATAAGTATCAGTTACCAAACCGAGTTCTTATGAGTTAAGAATCCTAAAGGTTTCTCTTATCTCCACGTTGCAATGATTTCTGAAACTGTGTTTTGTTGTATAGTAATAAAAGGATCTATTTATAGCATGTAGCATATAGTTTTCTTGTCCTCTTTTGGATTAGCCAGATCATATTTTTGTAACACTTCTTTCCTTCTAATTTTATTTTTACTGTAGGCTCTAGATTATGAGCAACTGCAAAGCATGCAATTCAGTATTGCTGTCAGAAATAAAGCTGAATTTCACCAATCAGTAATCTCTCAATATCAAGTTAAATCAACCCCAGTCACAATTCAAGTAATAAATGTAAAAGAAGGTATTACATTCTATCCTGGTTCCAAGTATTTTACTGTCCAAAAAAGCATAAGTAGTAGCAAATTGATCAATTATGTCCTGGGATCCTATCAAGCCATTGATGAAGACACTGGCAAAGCTGCCTCATCTGTCAGGTAAAATAATTTTACATCATTTTATTATTCCTTGATATAGTTTTAATCTATAAACTATTCCAAAACAACACTTAAAGTATATGTCAAGACCAAAAAGAGATACAAAGTGCATCTACCCAAAGAGAACTTAAGAGCCAGGTAACTAAATCATTACAGCATACTATGTTATAAGCAAAGACAGAATGTCTTATTAGCCTGTTTAGAGAGAAGGAAAAAGTTTCATAGAAACTATCATTGAGTCTTTCCTGGCTGCTCCCCAGCCACCGGAGGAGGGTCCCACATGGCGCGCAGACCTCTCCTGCCGCCCGCTGCTCCCCTCAGCAGTGTACTTCGGTCCCTCTGCCTGCTCTGCTCCCCGCTCTGGCTCTGGTGAATTCTCTTGCCCTCCCGTGCTTCTGACTGTACCCACTGCTTGTATAAATAAATAAATAAATTTAAAAAAAAAAAAGGTCTTAAAAAAAGGAATAGAACTTCACCAGAAGCCCAGGGAACAGAGAGAACAGCACCTACAAAGACATGTACTTAAAATCCAAGTGCACCATACAAGGTAATTGCTCTGGTATAAAGTTATTTTACTGTACAGAGCAGAGAATTGAAATACCAAGCAGCCACATATTTAAGGATTATGAAATACTCCTTTCCACGTTAATTTTTAGTTTTCTGCTGCTTTTTATAAACTATATTTCAATGTTTTAAGTATAATACATTAAATGTTAAATGAGTCACTTTCATTAAATAGGTAGCATTCTATGTTCCAAAAAATTATTATATTTTTCTGTTATAAAACAGATATATCATGGGACGTAATGATGGTGGTTTGCTAATTGTTGATCCAAAAACTGCTCAAATCAAATTTATCAAAAACATTGATCGGGACTATACTTTCATAATTAACAAGACAATCACAGCTGAAATTCTGGCCATAGACGGTAAGAAAAGTAATTCAATCATTTTCAGACGTGTTACTACAATTGCCATGTCTTCATGAAAAAGTGATTATGCTTATTTAACATATTACCTTTATCATTATATAAAGTTCATTATCTTAGGGACCTTGAGTCTCAAGTATAAGGCAGCTGAATGTAGTAGAAGACTGAGCATTACAACTTCTCAGTGGAGTTTGAAGTAACAGTAAATTCTGTAATCCTTCCCTGTTCTTACCGTGGTAAACTGTTTTGCTTTAGAAGCAAAAATATTTCATGCAGTGCTCAGCTCATACAGTATATACATTTAAGAAAATTCTTGTTTTTATGTTGCTTTTCTTTGTAATCAGTAAATTCATCTATTCCACCTCTTGGTTCCAGGCATATTAAATTAATAGCCAACACTACTAATTAGAGACACCAGCCTCGTTGATAAATTTAAATTTGCTTTTTACAAGATATGGAAATTGTATGACATCTTTTGACTTACTAAAATGCCATAAGAAGCTAAGATATTTGGTTGTGTGCAAAGGAAATTTAAAAGCTCAAAATTTTGGGGTATAATCTGTTGTTTATTTCTTTAACTCTAAAATATTATTTTTACAGAAATCACCGGTAAAACTTCTACAGGCACTGTGTATGTTGAAGTACCTGGTTTCAATGAAAATTGTCCAACAATTGTCCTTGAGAAGAAAGAAATTTGCAGTTCATCACCTTCGGTGGTTGTTTCAGCTATATCACAAGACAAAGATAAATATACTGGGCCCTACACATTTTCATTGGAGGAGCAACCTCTAAAGTTGCCAGCTGAGTGGAGGATCACAACTCTCAATGGTGAGTAATAGTAAAGTTGTCACCATAAATGGAAGCCGACACTTTTTTTTTTTAAAGATTTATTTATTTATTTATTTATTTGTTTATACAAGCATTGGGTACAGTCAGAAGTGCAGAAGGGTGAGAGAATTCACCAGAGCCAGAGGGGAGAGCAGAGCAGGCAGATTTACTGAAACACACTGCTGAGGGGAGCAACAGCGGGCAGCAGGAGAGGTCTGCGCGCCATGTGGGACCCTCGCCGGTGGCTGGGCGGTGCTGCAGAGGCTGCGGGCAGCTTCACAGCCCAGCGCTCAACCGCTGCGCCACCAGGGGAGGCCCAAGCTGACGCTTCTTTACATTTCCAAAAGAATAAGAGAGTATGTTTAGGGTTCCCTTCCAAGAGTAATTTTAAAAATCCTTCACAATGAAAGATGCAGTCGTAGTCCATTGAATTTCTTCTTTCTTCGGAAGAGAAAATAAAGGATATGATAGACTAGTAGCACTATTTAATATTTCCTGAACTTTATGTGGACTTCAGTTTATTTATACTTTTAAGAATTTATTTCTACCTCCAGTGTATGCATGCACACGTGTCCACACGTATTCACATTTGTTTGCATGTGTGCACACACACAAACACACACACACACAAATTAGAGTCAGGCATCTATATTATTGCAAAGCTACTTACATTTCTAAATACAGAAATTTTTCCTAACTGGGCAGGCTGTGAGCAGACATGAAGCACTGGAGGGGGTGGCCTGCATCAGGTTCAAAGGAAGTACTACTTAGTCTGTGACTAGTTGGGACTCTTAAAATCTTGGTGGATTGAAAAGCACAAATCCATTAGCTATGGGGAGGAGTTAATCCATCCTTCCTTTTCTCCTAACCTTTAGGAGAAATTTTATGCTGATTCAAGCAACACAACTATGCATCTATAAGAGTGGTTGGTGAACCCCACTTAGAAAGGCACAGTGCAGTGATGGACAATAGAGAACAACCAATGTTCATGAGTCACACACACTACAGGACTTTACCACAAGAAGGCCCTATAGCCAGCATTGGGCTCACCGAAGGAGGACTGACAGGAGCAGTGGAGGTAGCAGCAGTCAAAGCAGAAACAGCCTAGATAAGGCACAAAAGCATGGACAGAAGGGGAAGACATACAGCTAGATGTCCACACAGGAGTCCAGGGGTTGGTCTAAGCATACAGGAGAGTGCTTAAGTACATATCCCATCCTCTTTGCAAGGAAGGAAGGGAAGAGGGAAGAAATCCAGGTAGCACCCCATCTTCATGGAGGAGAATAACGGGTACACCTGGGCCAGAGAGAAGGAGGAGGAAATGCAGACAAATGCACCCAACTGACACTGTTAAGCTTTCATAACTCCAACTACCCACCACTATCAGCCCCAATTTCTGCTAGTGACATCTTTGTAACTTCACAGTAAGTGCTTTGGAGACTCAAAGATACATTGTTCTACTATTGACTTGGTGTTTGTTTCTCCACAGCTACCTCTGCGCATCTAATAGCTCAACAGCCAACAGCTCTTGGAATATACAAAATCTCCCTCATAGTTAAAGACAGTAAGGATCAATTATGTGAGCCACCAGAGGACTTGATCTTGGAAGTCTGTGATTGTGAAGATAGGGACGTTTGTAGAGATTCTGTGTCAAGGGATGATTCCCAGCCTATATATGGAGGCATGGCACAGGGGAGGCTGGGACCTGGAGCCATTGGCCTGATATTCCTTGGACTTCTGCTGTTGCTGTGTGAGTATGCCCAACTTTCCTTCTGTTTCCACAAGTTGTCTGTATTTGCAGAGGCCTTCGCACTACACAGAGAATGTCTCTCTGTAATGCAAAACAATTCCCTAATCATCTTATAGGCAAAACTGGGAGGAAAGAGCATTTTTAGGAAAAATATGAAATGTTTCAAGTCAACATATCACATGCTGGGCCTCCCCGGTGGTGCAGTGGATTGAGCGCAGCGCTGTGAAGCTGTCCACAGCCTCTGCAGCGCAGGTTCGATTCCCAGCCAGCCAGGGAGATGCCCACATGGCTTGGCAGACCTCTCCTGTCTCGCCCGCTGCTCCCCTCAGCAGTGTACTTTGGTCAATCTACCTGTTCTGCTCCCCGCTCTGTCTGGTGAATCCTCTCACCCTCCCGCACCTCTGGCCTGTACTCCAGCTATTGCATAAATAAAAAATAAATCAATTTTAAAAATTTTAAAAAAATCATATCACCTGCCAACAATCTCTACTCATTATACAGCAAACAAATCATATGGTAGACATTTAGGAAACAGCATAAGAAAATCAAGAAGGATAGAAAACAGTGAACACTTTGTACATGCTGCCAGTCTCATTCATGGTCAAAATAATGACTTTGTCCATGAGTGTAGCATTTTCTAAAATGTCTTCTCCATAATCAAGTCTCACAGATACTTAAAAAAAAAAAAAAAAAAAAAAAAAAAAACCTGGTCAAATAAAGTTAAGGAAAATAAATAACTATCATAGGCTCTGAGAAGTTATTGCTTAATCCAAACATCCTGAAAATGTATTAATTCTAATAAAAGTAATTTTTATTCAATAGATAGGCTTCTAAAAATTACACTTAAATAAAATTTTGTGAATCAAATAGTATTTTGAATGTAATAATTCTATTCAAAAAAATTCATGGGAAATTCTTGAATAAATAAGAGAAACCCTAAACTACAAAGAAATACAGAACTTTACATGACAAGCACACATATAACCATAACCCAGACTTCACAGATATTAAAATTTACCATATTCAGCTCTCTTTTCCTGAAAAGGATAAATAAATTGTTATACATACATGTAGCGGCAGGAAGGCACAGTGCAGGATCTCTATAATTCCAGCAGATGGGGTAAAGGAAGATCCTGGAGCCCTCGGTGGCTTTTTCAGGCTTTTATTGGGATTAACCAGGTACACAGCAGGCAGGCCGCCCAGCCCCCAGCAAGTCTTCTCTCTTCCTGGGCTCTCCAGCCTTCTCTGGTGGTCTCTGCTTCTCCTTCACTCTCATTCTCTCTGCTCTCTCTCGTGGTTCTCTTCTGTTTATTCTGCTGCTTCTGGCATCCCCTTGATGCCGCCCTTATAAGTGCAGTCTTAGCCCAGGTGTACCCACTTACACATGCTCACACCCTACTCCAGGTGCCCGCCATCAGGCATGCATTCAGGACCACAAGGATCCATCATCAATCCTAATGGCTGGAGGGCAGAAAAGCCAAACACTTTACCTTACCCTACACCCATCCTAATGACACTAGCAAATCCTCATAGCACTCACTACTGTCCTTCACTCTTATTAACTCACTTAATCCTCATGACAATCTTGATGTAGATACTAGTGTCCCATGTTATGGATGAGTTAATGGATGCAAGCAAAAGTGATAAAATTTATCTATTTGGTGAGTGGTGGGGCCACTTACCAACCTGTCTCCATAGACTATGAAGTCTGTCTCCATAGACTATGCTCTTAAAATCCCTCACACACTTGCTGCTAATTAGACAGGGTTCTAACTTTGGGTCCAGGTGATCCTGGCAGGTGCAGCTGGGGTCACTGATGACCAAGAAAATGTAGGAAGCACTTAAAAAAGAAGGAATCTTTCTCTCTTGGTCCATTAACATGAAAATATTAATATTTATTGCAAAGATATGACTGATACACACAGAGAAAATGAAAATTACTCTGGGAAGAAGGCTGCTCCAAGCTAGGGATTCATAAGTCACAATTAAGAGGGCATTCACACCCTGTATTAGATCACCACTCTGGTTGCTGAGGGAGGTTTCTGGTTAATTCATGTTTACTAACAGATGTTAAGAGACACATTATCATGCCCAACTAAAATCTTGACCATACAGTTGTGAGTTCACCCAACACGATATACATAGCCTCAACATGTACAAATAAATGCAATCATAAAAATATATTATGGAAAAGGATTAAGGAACTGAACCACCATTATCATTCATCAAACTACCTTAGGCAACAATTTACATATCACAAGAAGAATTTAATGTCTTCTTCAGTTTCATAAGCATATGAAATTTTAATGTTTAATTTGCCAAATTTAGTTTATAGATACTAATTTTGCTATTAGGAATTTTCTATAAATCTGTAAAATACTGTATATTCTTTGTTACATTTCTGAGACTTGTCATGTCAAACCCTTTCCAAGTGATTCAAATGTTTTAATATTTGGCTTTGTTTTGTTTACTAGTGGCCCCCCTTCTGCTGCTAACTTGTGACTGTGGGAAACTCGGGGGAGTGCCAGGATTTATCCCAGTTCCTGATGGTTCAGAAGGAACAATTCATCCGTGGGGGATTGAAGGAGCCCAGCCTGAAGACAGGGTGAGGATCCAGTTTGTAAAACATTTATTTGCACTATATAAAGAAAAATTCAATTTGAGATGAGATGAGAAAATTGAGTGACAAGGTATTAAAATAAGGGACTCCATGACCCCCTGTTTGAGAGAGTGCTAGAGTGCTTGTGGGAGACAGGATTTTATCTCTTCAGATGTCGAATCATAAAAATGGTTACTGCTGCAAGAATTCAGGCTAGTTATTATTTTACCATTTGCCAAGGACCACATTTTACCTATATGGCCAAGAAATCTGGTTCACTTTTAATGTATTTATTTTTTGAATACTTCTTACAGGAAGTAACAAATATTTGTGTGCCTCCTATAACAACCAATGGAAATGATTTAATAGAAACTTGTGGTAAGTGGACACTGAATTTATTTTTAATAGTAATAGGTTAAATAAGAAAAAAATGAAATTTTAAAAATAAGAGGTATCCGACTTCATAAATGCATTTGTCAACTAACCCTACATTTTTAATAGCTGAAGATTTGTTACATTTTTTCCAACTTTAATAAACTGAAGTATAGCTCTAACTGATTGCTGTTCTTTTCATAAGTAAAGATTTCATACATATAAGAAAATATAATAAATACTGTGTACCTATACCTAATTTGACTATTCTTATGTCATATGAGCAGATAAAGCCTTGTGCACATTCTTGAACATTTTCTTACCCTTCTTCTTTCCCCAGAACTAACAGTATTCTGATTCGAGTTCAGTTACCAATTTTTGTATTCAATCATAATAGAATAAGATCACTTATATTGTCATAGAAGTGAAATTGTTTTACCAAGTAACTATTTTATTCATGTTATCTCAATGCTACAACTAAGACCAAAACAAGAGGAACAATAAGATTTCATGCCTAATATTAATTTTTTCTTAATTCCATATTTAGTAATAGATTGTTTTTAAATGTATAACCTACAAAATTTGAATGAGATTTCCCAAAAATAGTCACTGCCTTTATCAGCTCCCCCAATCTTCACCTGCTTCTCTCATTATTATTACATAACAAAAACTATATTCAAAATTTTCTTTAAAAAAATTTCTGTAGAAGTGTAATTACAAAGGTAACAGAATAATCATAATACATTTAATTTTCATTAGGTTACAAGACACCAAATTAATAACTACTAATTTGCAAAATTGCGTTATGTACATTTCCTCTTCATTTTCCACATTGAGCCAATATGACAACTTAATTACAATTTTTTTCCCCTGAAAACTTTGCTATAGAAGCTTTCCACTGCAGTGTGTTCAATATTTTGTTCTTATGTTTCTGGCTGTTGTCATCAAAAATCCACTTCCTTTTTAATTAGTATTTTTTCAGAGATTTTTTTCCCCACTAATACCACCCCTTCTGTTACTCTCACATAACAGACTGAGATGTTATGCTTAATGTCATCTGTAGTCATATGATTATATTTTCCCCCATTAATTTGTTTGACTACTTTCCATGTGTATCAAAGATCAGTAAAAAAAATAATTAAAATAATCACAGTATGAGATGTTACAGAAATTTCTCCCCTGCTTTTAGAAATGTGTACAAATACATATGCTGGAGGGACAGTGATTGACGGATCTTCGGGAATGGAAATATGCAGCAAAACTGTAGGGGCTGGAGGATTTGGAGCAACCATTTGTTCGACCGGACAATCTGGAACAATGAGAACAAGGCATTCCACGGGAGGAAGCCACAGGGACTGCAGTGACAGAACAATAAGCATGAGTTTCCTGGAATCCTACTTTACACAGGTAATTTCATGGAAAACTCTGGCTTTGTTATCTACTATATGTTTGAGGTGTTTTTGCTTAACTGTAGTTTTGCAGTTTGATTTTTTTTATATCTTGTTAAAATATAAGAAAGAAAATAGGGGCTCTTTGCCAAAACAACGCAGATTACCTAAGATGACTGTCAAAATTGGGCTGCTGGTCAAAAGGATGTGTAGAGAGCCACAAAATGAGAAACTAGAGCCAGTGACACCTCATCTCTCCAACTGGAATAACAGGGGAGCACAAAATCATTTGTGTTTGAGGACTGGCAGCATCCTCCTTAGGAACACAAAGCAGCTCATTTTGTATTTCCTAGCCTGTAAAGGATACTGGAATGCATGTACTTAAAATTTTCTGAGAGTGGACTATGGTGTCATCACCTTTTCAAAGGTGTCTATATCCAACAAAGTTGAAAAAAAAATGAATTAATCATCCAAAATAAGTAGCAATAGAAGGGATATGGCAACGTGTCAGGACAAGGGACAAGGAGGGGATTTTGGAGATGGATTACTTGCCTCTTGCTTGGTGACCAAAGAATGAGAGATGCAGTTAGAATGGACCTCACGTGTAGTTTTGGTATCACTTTTGCCAGATGCCAGTGTTTAAGTGAATGAAAACTGGTGTTGTGTTTGAAGACAAGAGTGTGCTTGAGGGAAGAGGGACAGGGAGGATTTGTTTGGGAAGAATTTTCTGGAGATACACCAAGGCCCTAGGTTACCACAAATGTATCATCTAATAAAGGGCCCACATTGGGCTAGAGCTGCCCCCAAGGGTGCGCACAGGATGCTCACTCACTCCGCTTCCCACCCCCCAGCAGAAGATGCACATTAACACAAGAACAAGCCAGAGAACTTCACATTTGGCCCCATGAATAGCCTCCAATACACTTTGCATTGTAGACCTAAATCCATGTAAGAGCCTGCAAAATCAAGAATTAAAATATGAAGCTAGGCTAGACTTAATTTTGGGAGAATGTTATCCACACTATTCTCCAAACACCAGATAACTTCTATGAAGGATGGTTAATATAAACAATATACCTTTACTCCAATTGGTTACCTAAATTACACATACATAATCAAACCTTGACTTCTATGAACAGTATTATATTCAGTGAGTCTCTGTTCAATTTTTTCCCACTCTCCACCATTAGAAAGCACGTGCCTTTGCTGAGGATGACAATGGCCAGGAAGCAAATGACTGCTTGCTGATCTACGATGATGAAGAAGCACTCGCGGACAATTACCCCGACTTTCCCAAGGACCCCCTAGATTGCTGCAGTTTTATTGCTGATGATCTGGATGACAGCTTCTTAGATTCTCTCGGCCCCAAATTTAAAAAGCTTGCAGAGATAAGCCTTGGAGTCGATGACCTAGACAACCATTGTCAGTCACTGGGCAAAGACGGTGGTTTGGGGACTGAGCCCTGTGGCTATTCTGCAGGAATCCAGCAGCCGGGGTCTGTCAGGTGCCAGCCTTTGCCAGGCAGTCCAGGAGCCCCCCTTTTATGTGCTCCCTGCCCTGTGCTCCAACCAGCCATTTGCATCGCTGACCCTTTGCAGGGTGGTAGCTATTTGGTAACTGATACTTACTCAACTTCTGATTCCCTCATTTATCCTTCCACTGTAACCTTGGATCCACTTCTCACACAAAATATAACAGTGAGGGAAAGAGTGATTTGTCCCATTTCCAATGTTCCTGACAATGTCTGTGGTTCAACAGAGCTATGAGGGACACATAATGTGATCTGTTCAGAAGATCTTGTTCCAGCCTGATATAACCAGAATAACTGGAATTCCAAACATACTCACCAAATCTGGATGTTGGTACAAATTATTCAAGGCATAATATAGTATAGCACAACTTCTTGATCTAATTTGGCACTTATTTGCTAGTCTCATAAACTGATCATGATTACAGTTTATAAATTTCTAGTCCACATCCCCAAATTGAATATTTGTCACTCCCAATTTACCAAATCCAGTCAGTGTTTTCCAGAAAATCTTGAGGTCATATTCAGAGGGAAATTTTCCTAAAATTTTCTAAACTTCTATTTTTGCAAAGCCAAAGAAAAGTAGTTTTCTGTTTAAAATAAAGTGTGCTTTAGTGGATTGAGCATTTAGAGTCAAGAACCCTAATTCTTGTCTCTGTCACCTTTTCTTATGTCTCTAATAATGGTGTAAGAGTCATAAGGTACTTGCTAAGGTATTTTGAACTGTTTGGAAAAAAGGGACTAGTCACAGCTGGTTGTTTTCCATCTTCTTGGTGCTGGGAGACCCTAAGTGCAACTTTTGTTCAAGCTGAAGGGCTTGGCTTCTGCATGAAACTTGTTACATCTGTAGTCCTCATAGGTAAGGCAGTTTTGAAATAGAAATGTCAAGGAGCATTTAGGAAAGTTTAGTGTGGTGTAAATATTTTGTACTTTTAAAAAATACCTTAAGAGGATCTATCCAAAGAAAATATTTTACAGTGAGGTCGTTCCTCTACACTTCTCTATAATAAATCCTGTGTTAATAGTCTTTGAAAATTGGTGTATATTTTTTAAATGCTGGTGGGTGGATATAATTTATATATGACATATAGTGGTGTGTATTGTGATAACAATATCTACTAACTTTTGGGAACTGCAAAACATGGCTTTTCTCTTTAACAAAGGGGGCAACTAGAATAACACATGGTGAAATTTGGGAATATGTACTATATGCAGCATTTCAGGTTAAAATGTGATATGGAAAGAGATTAGCAGTAATCTCCATTTTTTTTAAGCTTTACTCCTTTTTCATTAAACAGCCACAACAGTTTGTTTTGACTGTAACAATGTTAAGTGAATGAAAGTTTAGAAAATATTGTTTCACTTCTGTTATTGTGATGGCAATACAGTTCTTCCAGTCATTTCTGCTCTTTATAGATCTTCACCTTTAACCCATAGAAAGCGCCCTACTGGCTCGCCAACGTTATTATTTTAACTGAGTCTTTACTAGTCATTGTCTAACCCTATTATCATCAATCATATATAAAATTCTCCTTTCTTTTTTTTTGCCACATTCAAAAACTATGTTTTTTTCTAAATGTAAAGTAATAAAATTTGCAATTAAAGGATGCAATCCTGAGGATACTGGGGGGACCCTTTAAATATCCCTGCACATAGTGTTCTTCCCTCTCCCTGGTGCCATGACTGCTACCGGGAAGGCATTTCTAGAATAGTCTGAGCATCACAGGCAGCCTGTTCACCCACGACAAGGCTGCTGCTGCAACAATGCCTGGGAGTGCTGGCCTCAAGGTGAGGAGAACTGGACTGTAGGGAACAGTCCTGAAGATGGTAAATTGCTATTGGCACTGGGGTGCCTCTTTTCAAGAAAACCCTGCCCTGACACCTAGACCACACAAAATTCATTTGTGTCTCTGTTTATACTCAAGGGTTATGTTAATAATCATATGCACCCTTATTCCAAGTGCAAAAATATATTCAAAGTATTTTAACTCTGCCTCTTAAAATCCAATTTCTCATAAAATGGGAATTTTGCTCTATGGTAAAACTGCGGAAGAAACTATGCCATAGTATTAAAGGTTAGATAAGAGGAAACTTGAAAGTAAATGTATTTTAAAATAGAAATATGTCAATGTTCTCTAGAGGGACCTAAAATTGATTCACCATGTAAAATTGAAATCAAAGCAAAAATGTATCTATATTTTTCACCAAAAATAAAATTGTTTTGAGCAAAGTTTTTTAACTTTTTGTTTGATGTATTACAAGTTTTAACACTATATGTTAAATCTTTAACTGCAAAACATTGTTATAATAAAACTGTTTGGCAACAAACTTATGAGTAAGTCCTTAACTATAAAAAATGAACTACTCTGTAATTAATAGTTATTAAGAAATGTAGAAAGTTACTTATGTATCTTATCACTTTTTGCTTTTTTTTTTCTAGTTGATAACTTTTTCTGCATCCTCCCAGGCAGGAAAGAAGTACCTGGGGACCCAGGATTTCTTCCTCAGGTGGACATTGTGCAGAATGAGCTGCTAACTAAGGTCAAGGGCAGACTTGGATAACTGGATGTGTTATCTCCTATAGTGTTTGATAATTTGGAATGGCCTCTCAGGCAAAAGTTTTGACATTTTATGATGTCAAAGAGAAAAGCTGGAGTAAAGAGAAGGTAAGTTTTCTGGCCCAAGATGATAAATAAGAATGACTCTAGGGGCCGCCCTGGTGATGCAGGCAGTTGAGTGCAGCGCTGTGAAGCTGTCCACAGCCTCTGCAGCACCAGTTCGATTCCTGGCCAGCCAGGGAGATACCCACATGGTGCGGCAGACCTCTCCTGTCTCTCCTGCTGCTCACCTCAGCAGTGCTTTCGGTCCGTCTGCCTGTTCTGCTCCTCACTCTGTCTCTGGTGAATCCTCTCACCCTCCCGCACATCTGGCCTGCACCCCCGTTCTTGTATAAATAAATAAAAAATCTTTTAAAAAAAAAAATGACTCTGGGCACAGCGATCAGCCCCAGCTGTGGGTTAGTCTCCAAGTAAATGACGACTTTTAAAATCATTATTTTAAGGTCTTCTTTTTAAACATATGTCATCAAATAAGTCCCTCAGACTGTTGACTTTTGTTTCTGATTGACCTTCCTCATTCTTAAATGCAGGCAATTCAACATGGAGCGGAGGTATGCGGTACAGAAACTGGATTAGCGTGGATGTAGAGTGAAGATATGCAGTTGACTTGGCTTGGATGTCCCAAATCAACTCATGGAAAATGAAAGCCATGTAGGTAAATTCCAAAAATATCACCAGTTTTTCCTATTCATAAAATGTTCTAGAAATAAATGCAGCAAAACCAGTTTAACTTAATGTTATCAAGTAAGAGTAAAAAAGAAAGAAATGCCAGTGAAAGATCTTTCCTTCTTGTTCAGAACAATTCAGCATTTTCTCAGCTCCATTATTGGGTCTACAAAGAGTAATTCTGAACCAGAGACTATGTTACTTAACACTTGTTGAACAACATAGTCTGAGACTGCTTTACATGAAGAGGATAATTGATAAGAAAGAAAACAATCATTTAATTCCAGGTGCCAGAAATAACACATTTCCCGGATCCAGAATGAATTGATATTTCCTCCATAGCAATACATTGGCCATGCTATGTTGCTGTCTTTAGTTTCTTTTTCTTCCATAAGTTGATTTTTTTAAGAAATACAAAACAAAATAATCTAGATACTCTGTAGTTAAAACTCAAGAAAATGATGGTCTGAAATATCAATTCCAGGTAGATGCAGTTACCAGTGCAGAAAAAAAAAACAGTGTGTTGAGGGCTACCAAATAGCCAAAAACATTTATATATTCACATTTAATTATTACAATAAGTCTAAGCTTACAAAAGAAGCAGAGTCAGAGAAGTAAAATAACTTCCTCAAAGTCTCACATAAAGTGACGCAAATGTAAAAATTTATCTATAATTATGCTCCAGTAATAAACTGTTTATTTTTAAATCTGAGACTTGAGTAGAATATGATGAAATTGAAAGAAAATTATGAAAAAGATAATAAATTGAAATATAATTCTAAAAGTTAAAGAAGCAGTACACTATAGGTCAATGTATAAATAAAGAGAGAAAGAAAAAAATCTATGTTTCTCTTGAGGTATATCTCTGTGATAGAAAGAGAGATAGAAAGGATGCAAACACATGACTTGCTGCTATTTTGAAGTTTATGTGAAATTATTTTTCAGGGCACAAGGACCAGTTGTCCTACACATTTAATAGCAGAGACAAGCTACTTGGAAGGCCTGGAATCTCTTTTTTGGCCAACTCCTTTTAAAGTACTTTGATAGATGCTATTTAGAATAGGTTATATGACAAGTGTCTAGATCATTTTATTTATTTTTTTTTTTTAAAGATTTATTGATTGATTGATTGATTGATTTATACATACATACATACAAGCACTGGGTACAGTCAGAAGCGCGGGAGGGTGAGAGAATTCACCAGAGCCAGAGCGGGGAGCAGAGCAGGCAGAAGGACTGAAGTACACTGCTGAGGGGAGCAGTGGGCGGCAGGAGAGGTCTGCGCGCCATGTGGGACCCTCCTCCAGTGGCCGGGGAGCAGCCGGGGATCGAACCGGCCCTGCAGAGGCTGCGGGCAGCTTCGCAACCCAGCGCTCAACCGCTGCGCCACCAGGGAGGCCCCGTCTAGATCATTTTAAATGGGTCCTTCCTGCTCAGTCCTTCCATGATTTGTGGAAACAATGCATATATTTTAACAGCTGTAACTATTTTACTCCTTAAGACCACCTCCATTTCTACCTCTGTTTTAATGAAGCAAATGGGACTGTGGTGGTTTTAATTGTATGCCTTAGAACATCCTGGTTTCTGTGTGCCCAATTACTCATAATAAATTTAATAAACAGTAAATTTTGTGTGAAAACACAAAACGTCAAATTCTGATAATACAAGCAAAATGATATCAGAAAAATATGTATGCTCTCATTTCCTCAAAATGCAGGGCAAGTATTTATATTCTGTCATAATCAAAAAAGCAAAAGAGCTTTCTTAATTACAAAGCAGCAAAGAGTCAGGTAATCCGGTATTTACCTAAATGGCATAATAACATGGTTTCCCCTCCTGCAAGGAGGCACTGTTACTAAGCCAAAAATGAGTATTTAACCTCAAAAATGTGAGATTAATTTCAGTCATGTCTTCCCATGCCCAACTGACTAGTATTGTTAATAATATTTATATTATCCTAAGGTGTAAAATACACAGACACACCACACAACATAAAACACACACATATGCAACCACACATATGTGCCTCAGATAAGCAAATAGCTAGGCATAGCTGAAGCAGTCTTTCCATCATCAGACCCATGTGGCAGACATTAATTAATA